TACCTTCTTCTGCAATTTTCTGGAAGAGTTTGAGTAAGATAGGTGTTAGCTCTTCTCTAAATTTTTGGTAGAATTCAGCTGTGAAGCCATCTGGTCCTGGGCTTTTGTTTGCTGGAAGATTTCTGATTACAGTTTTGATTTCCGTGCTTGTGATGGGTCTGTTAAGATCTTCTATTTCTTCCTGGTTCAGTTTTGGAAAGTTATACTTTTCTAAGCATTTATCCATTTCTTCTAAGTTGTCCATTTTATCACCAGCACTTAAAAAAAGAAAAAAAATTCAAATCTATCCACATGTGGTGAGACCAATAGAATACTTCATTATATGTAGGAAAATCAGTAAAAAAACAGTGACTGTAAGTTCAATAACCAACTTGAAGGAAGATATTAATTTAACAATTATGAATTTGTAAAAGAGATAATAAAAATCCACATTTAAATATTATTAAATAATATGAATTTTAAATTGATGTGGATATATTGTATGATACAGATAATGTTGGAATAAAGATCTATATGTACATATAAATTGAAACATATATTTAATATGTTAGAATTTAAGTACCAAAAAAGGATTCCAGAAATTAGAAAATGCTAGATAAGTGAAAATATGACAATAAATTATGATAAAATTGCTCCTCAATCACAGTTATTTTCCACTCATGATTAATCCATAACATTAGTAGATCCACAAATATTATTAAATCCATAAATTCATATTTTATTAGATTACTTTATCAGAAGTTGAGGCAATATAAATTATGAGGGTAAGGTTAAAGCAGTTCTTTGCCCCTTTTCCTGTTTGACAATTTCTATCCCTTCTTAACTTAAAAAATGATATCTAATTACAGGAAGTACATCACTAAACAGTTGAAACTCCTGACTTACACTCTTCTGAGTGCACACCATGCGTGGTCTAAATTGTTGATTCTTTTCCTAGATAAAAAGAAGTAATAATGAAGAATTGAGCAGTTAAAAAGTGATTGGCTCTCTACCCATAGCAGACGCCTTTGCAACGCTGCAGGCAGATCATGCAGACAAGATAATGTCTGAAGAAAAAGTCAGCCAGTTTCCATGTAATGGAGAATAATGCAGAACCCAACGTCCTTCCTTGATTCACTGGTTAACATACACAAAAAACCCAACCCCTTGACCACCTGTTCCCTTTAAAAACTGCTTTGACTGAGCATAATCTTTGAATTTGGTGTCTGGACCTGAGTCCACTGTCTCCTCCTATTGCTGGCTTTTTGACTAAAGCACCTTTCCTTTCTACCGACACTTGCTTCTTGAACTACTGGCATATGAGCAGAGAGCAGCCAAACTTAAATTTGGTTACAAAAGTTCCGTTACAAATTTGGTTACAAAAAACGTTTTGGTTACAAAAGTTCTGTTAAGTAACAGAAAGGGGGGAAATAATTAAACAAATTAGATGTATTATATTATACTGAAGCTTGATTTCCATTAGACATGATTTCTTTTATTTTAATTCTTTTTTATGCTAGTCCTTTAATCCAAATTTGTTTCCTTTTTCCTAATGGAGAAGTTTGTCAGTCTCTTAAAAAAAAAAGGTAAAAATAATCTAATGTGCTTAGATAACCTAAAGACATTTGAAGCAAGGAAATTATAGTATTTCTGGAATATAGTCACTGAATTTTATTTTCAGTAGGCACACTTCTGTTTTTATATTTGATTTGAGTATAACCTATTGTCACTATACCTTTTTTTTGCCCCCTTTTATTTTCTTATTCAATTATTGATGGGAAGAAATCACCTTTTAAAAACCTTGTATTTTATTTTTTCTCTATGATGAACATGTACTCAAAAAGGAGGAAAAATTTTGTATTGATATCTTTTCATTCCAAGTGTCCTGTGTTAGGAAAGGACATTAATAAAGTGTAATTATATTCAAGTGTTGCATTATTTACAAAGTAAATGGCTATTTAAGTTTATATAATCTGAATTTTTAGTACATCAAATCATGTGTTAAATATGTGTAGGAATGGTTTTATATAAATTGCTGTCCAATCTCTAAGAAATATTTCTAGTTTGGTTCTGCTCACTTCTCTCTTGGTCAAGGAGCAAATGTGCACATTTACTTGTATTATTAAATGAGTGCTTCATCTAATTATTTTTGTCTTTCTGCAGGAAAGTGTTACAGTAACTAACATTATAGATGAAGAAACCGAGGTTTACAAAACTCTGGAATTTGGCAAAGGCAGTGAAGATGAGATCTGACTTCTAAATTTATATTTTACCATATATTTTACTAAACAATAAACTGTCTCCCATAATAACAGCTCATACTTATTAAGCACTTACCATGTACTAGAAATTGTTCTGTGTTTTCAATGTCAGTGCTCTCCAAAGACTCCTGTGATTGAATAATTTGGGATCAAAACTTTCTATTAGAAGAAAAAGCCCCTATGGTAGGGAAACAATAGGACATTACAGTGAGAGAGTATTAAAAATATTTATAGAATTTGGTGGCTTCCCAGGTGGCTCACAGGTAAAGAATCTGCCTGTCATTGCAGGATACATGTGTTTGACCCCTAGATTGGGAAAATCCCCTGGAGAAGGAAATGGCAATCCACTCCAGTGTTCTTGTCTGGAGCCTGTCAGGCTACACTCCATGAGATTGCAAAGAGTTGGACATAACTTAGTTACTGAGCACTACATGCATGCACAGAATTTGGGCTTATTATCCTGATTTGGGTGATTTTCAGGAAGATTTAAAAGAGTAGGGTTGGTTCTGGATTAAAGGCTGTCAGAAATTGGGGATAATTCTATGATTGGTTATCTTACTGATTCTTGCAAGTCTTATCTAAAATGAAGGAAAACTAGAATTAGGCCAAACTATAACTGGTAAAGACAAAACAGTATCCAATGGTCAGGATAAAGAAATACTTGTGGTCATACATCCCAACCCCCTGAGTTTTTTTTTTTTTTTTTTAATGATCATTGAACACTTCATTGAGTAGATTGCTTACCTCTACTTTGCATAGCTCTTCTTCTGAAGTTTTATCTTGATTCTTTATTTGAAAGTTTTCCTCCATTACCTTGTTTTGCCTGATTCTCTATTTTTATTTCTATGTATTGGGTTGGTCATTTATGTTTGTCAATTTTGGAGAAGTGGCCTTTTGTAGGATATGTCCTTTAGGGCTGAGCAGCACATTCTGCTTTGTTAATCAAAAATATATGCTCTATGGGTTTTGCCTATGTGGGATGAGTTGACCCTTCTGTTGTGGTGGGCAAACTCCTGTAAATGTGTCAGTAATTATGGGATGGACCTTGGCCTGGATGGATATTGGGCCCTGCCTCATGTAGAGTCTATTGGCTGCTGGTAGATGAGGCTTGGTTCCCATATGGCTATCAACATGGTCTGGAAGTCTTGGTCCTGGCACCAGCCCACTAGTAGGTTGAGTTAAGTCTTGCCTGACTGTGGGGGCCCAGGGGAAGTACCAGTGATGTGCTGGCTTGCTAGTGTGAGCTGAGTACTGTGGTCACTGGAGGGAGATCTGAGTGTTCCAGTGCTCACACTCTGCTTGCTGGTGGGCAGGGCTGGCTCCTGGGGTGACCAGAGATCTTGTGCCTAAGGATGTGTAGCCTGCTGGTGTGGCTGTATCCACATGTATCTGACTGATTGGTATGAGGATTCCCAGGATTGGTGGTGACCAACTAGTGTGTGGGTCCAGGTCCTGGCTCTAGTAAGTTGGAGGGAAGACTCCAAAATAGTGCTTTTGAGCACCAATGTCCTTATGGGATGCTGAGCTCCCCAATATATCTGCCACTAGTGTCTGTGTTCCCAAAGTGAGTCTCACTGCCTCCTGCCTCTCCAGGAGACTCTCTAAGGTCAGCATGTGTGTCTGACCTGGCACTTTTCAAATTATTGCCTCTGTGTGGGTCTCAAAGTATGCAATATATTGTGTACTCACGAAAGGTGAATTCAGGGTCTTCCTACTCTGCCATCTTGGCCACTCTCTCTCATATTGTTTTGTAATTGCTTTCTATATCTTAATAGTTTGAATAGTATAAATGATACTAGAATTCTTGTCCTATTTATGACCTCAATGGAAATTTTCTAACAAGGTGTTCTTTGTTCAATTAGTTACTAATTCACTTAACAAATATTCAATCTGCACACTGTAGGTATTTACCTTTTAATATAGAGGAGCCTGATAGGCTACAGTCCGTGGGGTCACAAGAGTTGGACATGACTTAGCAACTAAACTACAACCACCATGGTCAACTATATATAGACAATATATGTCCCCTTTGACAGCAAAGAAATCAAACCAGTCAATCTAAAGGGAAATCAACCCTGAATACTTGCTGGAAGGACAGATGCTGAAGCTGAAACTCCAGTATTTTGGTCATCTGATGTGAACAGCTGACTCATTGGAAAAGTCCTTGATTCTGGAAAATATTGAGGGCAGAAGGAGAAGAGGGCATCAGAGGATGAGATGACTGAATGGCATCACCAGTGTGATGAACATGAACTTGAGCAAACTTTGGGAGATGGTGAGGGACAGAGAGGCCTGGTGTGCTGCTGTCCATGAGGTCATAAAGAGTCAGACATGACTGGCCAATTGAACAACATAGACAAAAGTGTTATATGTTTTGCCTTACTATTTTGAGTAAGTAACTGATGCCAAATTTCATAAACAGTTGAGTTATTACTTATGTGATTACACCAAATATAATTTTATTCTAGTTCCATCTTTACATTTCCAGAATACACATGAATTCTAAAATGCAATACATTACTTTACTATAATAATGGAATTAATCTGAAATCTGTTTGGTGATATTTATTTAGGGCTTTTTCTCCTTTATACATGAATTTGTTTGTAGAAATTCCTCTATGCAGTTTCAACTTATGACTTACATATTAGGTTTATTCAGGGAATTATGATTGTTTGTTAAGAATTGCAAAGCATTTGAGATTTTTACCTTACTTGCAACCCAAGAAGTTAGCTTGCTCCAGTTTAATAGATTCTGACAGAAGACAGGAGACTTCTAGTCTTGTCTTTTGTCAGTGACAAAAACCAAGCATTACTTACAATAATAGCATTAGCCAGAGTACCATTACTGTGTTTCTTCCTTGAGCTCCAGTTTCCACAGGGTAATAAGAGGACAGCCAGGTGATACTTATATACATAGTGTGGTGTGTTACAGAAGAAACTTGAATTTAGGGAGTCCAATCTTATTAAGGGGACTGCTAGTGCATAATGAATTCACAACTGCTCCAGAGGGAGAACTTATTTTTATTATACTGAACAGTAAATAAAGGCCCTTCAGTAGTGACCTGTGTTTCTATCTTCCAAAACTGCTTGCCCTACAAACGTCTTTGAAAATCTCATCTGAAGCAAGCAAAACGTTTCAGAACAGTTGCAAGCTTTCCATTGACTATACAGATTGCTTTACATGGTTTCAGTACACATGGTTATTTTTATAGTCCTGCACTACTGTGTAAAGTGAGGATTACACAAATACATACACATACACAAAGAATGAATCTTAGAACTTGTATCAAATTTTAAAATGTGACCTAAAATCAATACACATTTTTATAGTTGTTCTATTGCTTGCTGACATTTTTTTTTTCATATTGCACATCTCCATTTGTGAGTTCATAAATTTGTTTCATTTCATATTTACATGTAGTACAATTTTCAAGGCAAAATTCCATTAGTGACATTTATTTTGTTCTTATTTTCCATATTTTTGAATAAGCTAGAATGGATTTTTACTTATTTCTTTCATGCAATAAATTTGGCTCTATTCCATAACTGACAATGGATACTATCCTTGTTGTACTGGGAAAATCTGGGCCAAAATTGGTTTTAAGGTCTTTGATAGTATCTGAAAAAAAAAAAATGTAATTCTGTGCTTCTCAAAGAAATGAACTATTACCGTTGGGGTCACATGATGGCATTCCTGGCAGAGGATATACAACTATATCAGTAGCTTTACATAAAAGTGCTGTTTTATTTTTTAAACACATATTGTTTTCACTAGTAAAACATTCACACATATGATTCAGAATAGGAAAACTTCATGAAAATATTTTTACATCATTAAAAGCTACATTTATTTCAAATAATATAAAGTCATGGAAAATATTTATTATATGTTATTGCTGTTGTTCAGTCCCTTTGTCATGTCTGACTCTTTGTGATTTCATGAACTGTAGCATGCCAGACTCCTATATCCTCCACTGTCTCCCAGAATTTGCTCAAATTCATGTCAGTTGATTCAGTGTTGCCATCTAACCATCACATCCTCTTCCATCCCTTTCTCTTTTTGCTTCAATCTTTCCCAGCATCAGAGTCTTTTCCAGTGAGTCAGCTCTTTGCATCAGGTGCCCAAACTATTGGAGCTTCAGTATCAGCATCAGTCCTTCCAATTAATATTCATGGTTTGTTTCCTTTAGGATTGGCTAGTTTGGTCTCTTTGCACTCCAAGGGACTCTTAAAAGTCTTCTCCAGCATCACAATTCAAAGGCATCAATTCTTTGGCCCTCAGACTTTTTTATAGTCCAACTCTCACATTCATTCAAAAATGACCACTGGAAAATCCATAGCTTGACTATATGGACCTTTGTTGGTGGAGTGGTCTCTGTCTTTTAATACACTGTCAAGGTTTGTCATAGCTTTTCTTACTAGTGCATTAAAAAGTAAGATATAATGTGTGTGTATTATAACTATTATTATAAGTACTGTATGGAAAAGATTGAAAGAGAATAAACCAAAATTGTGAAACAGTTGTGTTAAAGTGAAGATACAGTGGGAAATTTTTACAAACATTTTCTTTAGTGTCAATTGCATTTTTTTGTAAAAAATAGAGCACTTTTATAAAAAAAGAAATTTATATATGTTGGCTTTTCATTTTATTAACACTAATAAAAGTCATAATAATTTGAGTATATAGAAAAACGGATACAAGCATCACCAGTTGACATCAAAGACTTCCAAGCTCCACCCTTCACCATTGTCTGTTTTTAAATATAATCTTTATTTTTACAGTGTTTTTTACAGCATATGATTTACAGTGTTGTGTTAGTTTCAAGTGTTCAGAAAAGTAAATCCATTACATATACACATATATCCAGCCTTTTTTATATTCTTTTCCCCCTATAGGTCACTAATGGGTATTGAGTAGAGTTCCCTGTCTTTACTAGTTTTCTATTTTATATATGTTGTGGTGTGTTTAGTCACTCAGTCGTGTCCGACTCTTTGCAACCACATTGACAGTGGCCCTCCTTCAGGGGATCTTCCCAACCC